ATAAACAAAAAGTTATTTTCGGATATTCATATTAATTGTTTATCTTAAATTAAAAGTTTTAAATTAAAACTGCTTACATTTATCTGGTTTGGACATCTACCGGCAATCTGAACGTTAAGCGTTAACAAGTCACGTGACCATGTCGATGACGACTTACATGAATTTACTCCCCATCCAAACCTGCTTATACAAGTTTTCACTTCAAAAAGTAATAATAATAAGATATACATGTCTTTCAGTCATGGAGTTCATCTGAACTTTTATTTAAAGTTATATATATACATATATATATATATATATATATATATATATATATATATATATATATATACATATATATATATATATATATAAAATACCTGTACCTGTGTGTGTCTGCTTCGGACGATTTTTTTTCTACACATAAATTAGTGTCTAGGGTCCGCAATTTTCATTTTTAATAATATGTATAATATAGGTACCATATTATGACACTCGCGTTATCAAGAATCGAATAAATCATCAAAATCGGTGAAGCGGTTTAGTAATTACGAGGGAACATAGAATCGGACATACTTACATACATACATACAGATGAAACACATAACCCTCCTTTGGACTTTTTAAAAAGCATAGCAAAATAATCATATCTGTAGGTGTATTTAAATAGAAAAACACGATGAAGCCATAGAACGCTAGCCAAATATGACTGTAATTTTTAATTGAAATTATTTGGTATTTGAAAAAGATTTAAATTTTATGTATAAAAATTATCTTTTGATCGATGCTGCATGGCTGATTTTTTATAATTAAGTGACTAGATATTACATATATTCCGACTTTCTACCTCGAGGATGTAAGTGAAAATGATATACTCGTACCTGTAATCTGTATATGTGAATGAAACGTTGCAAAGGATTTTCTAGGGTGATTTAGTGAATGTATAGAGTCGTGTTATTTAACTGACTTAAAAAGGAAACTACTTTATATTTCAGATTATATTTATAAAGAACTAGCAAATCTCGTGGCTTCGCTCGCGCTAAAACTACAAAAAAATCTTTAAAAGGGTAGTTTCATACAAACTTTCACTCCCTGTTTTACCCCCTTATAGGATGAATTTCGAAAAATGCTCAAAACATGTATTTATTTAATTTTATTGAAGAGAATTAATACCAAGTTTCAAGTAATTCGAATCAAAACTTTTTTTTTTTGGATTGTATTATAACGTGTTTTCCCGTGGGAATTAGATAACCTCCCGCGGTAAAAAGTAGCCCATGTCACTCTCCAGCCCTCCAAATATCTCTCCACACAAAAAATCACGCCAATCGGTTACTCCGCTTTGACGTGAAAGAAGGACAAACAAACAAACACACTTTCACATTTATAATATTAGTACGAATTTTTTTCATTCGAAATCATAGTAAATTTAATTGAAGTTAGAAAATAAATTGCTTCTTTATCAGCTATTCCTGGGGACTCATCCGAGTGAAAAGAGTGTAGGTATGTTGCCAGTTGTTTTGCATCAGGACCATAATATTAAATGTAATTATTTTATCAAAGCTTGCTGAAACGGATTATGTGAATTGAAATTTCATCGAAACTACAGTTTGGAATGCTTTCATACATTTAATTGCACAGGTATTTAAAATATTTATGTATTATATTACAAACAAATTATAATAAAGGCAGTGGTAGCCCAGTGGTAACGCGCTCGCTTGGGAAACCGAGTGAAGCGGGTTCAAATCCCGGGTCTCGCACCTCTGATATTTTCATGTGCAAATCATTTCTAACATGATTACCACTTGGCTTACGGTGAAGGAAAACATCGTGAGGAAACCTGCATGTCTGATAGAACCTATCAAGTTTTCGAAGACATGTGAAGTCCGCCAACCCGCACTTGGCCAGCGTGGTGGACTATGGCCTGATCCCCCTCGTATTGAAGGGAGGCCCGTGCCCAGCAGTGGGACGCCAAAAACGGGCTAAATACTAAATTATAATAATTTTAATTAATGTTTCAATTTCGTCTCTTATTTTATTCAAATGAACTAGTCAAAGGCACGTTTAAATGCCTCAAAAATAAACTTCTCCCTGTGACTTCTCATGTTTTTGCGTTTATACGTAACGCGTTCATTATAAACTGAGATGAGGTACAAAGTCATTTAACATATTTTTCTAAATGTGTAAGCTTTTTGTTTTTTTTTTGTTTATTTAAAAAAAACAGTTCGCCGTCTTTGGGAATCCGCCATGTTGGATTAACATTGATGTCACTTTGTTTTTTTATGTTTCGTCAAGCCCTTTTATTTGATGCTCATTGCCCATATCATAAGCGCCACTATAGAAATGATTCGTCGCTATTTTGTTACGTCCGCCATATTGAATTAAAAGATTGCGCAGAAAAAACGTAACACTTTTAAATTAACACTTTAATTAATTTCACTCATAAAATGTCCACACCGGGATACCGCCTTATATGGAAATCGATTCTTATGAAGTCCAAAAATTTTCGCATTTTCAGTGCGGACGCAACGAGAACGAAGCATGAAGATAATTGTATTGAGCATTGGTATATTCAATTTGACTGCTGGATTTATTTTGATCCCGCATTTCTCCCCCACGTTCAGTCCACAACCTGTAGGCTTACTCTTGAAACTGATTCGAATTTGATTTTGTTTTTGATTCGAATTCAATTTTGATTCGAACTCGATCCGGCTGCCTTACTCCCGAACCAAATCGAGATCGACTTACGTTCGAGTGTTATCAGCGCTGTTAACTGTATCCGGCTGCTGTGAATCTATGATCAAATTCTCTTTAATGTAAAAAAAACGTTATATAATTCGCTTTTTGCATTTAAGATGATTCCCTAGTGTTTTAATAAAAAAAAATTAAGATTATATTTAAATTATTTTAGGCATTCTAAAATTTATTTCGTGATTAAACCACAAACAATATTGATGGTTTAAATATTTATTCTGTACCTTTAAACTATTTATTACTTATTACTATGGCAACGATGTGTCAACTGTCACAGAGCTACATTTCAAAAGTTTGTATTGGTGTTTATTTAATAAAATAATAAGTAATAATATTTTTTAAGCCACTTAAAAAAAGAAAAAATAATAAGTGATGACAATATGTTGTGGTGTATACAATTACGAGATATTCTTTGGTAAGTATAAGTATATTATTTGTGTATATTAAAACGAATATGCGTTACATCTATATGATGTCTGTACAGTAATGTATTGGGTATAATTATCCCTAACTGTTATAATATGGTTACAGATTCAAGAGAAAAGAAGGGAAGATATACAAACCCACTCTACTGGAAGGGTAGAAAGTAGCAGAAACAATAAAATTCGTCTAACACTATAAATTGGTTGTATCAAGTGTAAAATAAAAATGTTTATTACAAATGCGTATTTTATTACCATGTAAATAAAACATTAATTTAAAAACTAATGTCTATATTAATAACAATATTTGGATAAGATATTGTCGCTTGCTATAACTCTATCTATTCTCGTAACTGCTTATTTCTTACAGGACAATTGCCTGTTGCATACATTATTATTTAAAGGCATATAATGTATAGTTTCAGCATAACTCTGTGAATTTAAATAGTTTTCAATTGTGCAATTTCTTGTTCTAGTATATATATAGCAGAACAGTGTTTTTGGGTGTCATCCTTTACGCGTATTTTCACTTGGTTTGATTTGTCAATAACATTAAATAATCGCAGGCGAGCCGTAACAATAAAAAAATGTCATTTATGTAGATAAATATCCACACTCGATCCAAAAAAAGTACCTTTTTCGTTATCGTCAACTTTGACATTAGATTGATCCTAAAACTCGATACCAAAGCTGTCCGATTGATACTGTCCGAACGGAATCGAAATTAAAAAAGTAATATTTCCTTTTATTTTCCTATTGATTCTCTTCTTTTCTGATTTTGGAACAAAATAGTTAAAATATTAGGTTATGTCACTTTTATAACGAGAGTAACATGGTATAGAATAGATTCCTTTTCCCATAACCCATATTATATGCCACAAAACAATAATTTATTACGAACCATTGACGAAGTAATCTGTGCTCAACTGGCACGCTTTGAAGCCATTATCAAAAAAATAAATAATAATTGAAGCATGCTGTAGACGTGCCATTTTTAATTATTGATTTTAGTGTAAAGACGTTGCTATGCGAGAATATTTAATAGCCAAGTGCTTATTGATAATACAATACTAAACTGTATCAGAGTAAATATTCATAGCTCTTTTTTCATGATCTTTTTATATTTTAAAATATGAATGACATTTTTAAACCTTGCATCTTGTTTAAAATGACAAAACCAGAAAAAAATGGATGTCATATTTATGAATATTCTGTAAATATGCGAAAAGCGCCAAAGAGATTTACTCGTAATTGATTGGATAATTCATATAGATACCTGTATTTTAACTAAAGAATTACAGAAAATATTTGTAGCGTCGCAGATATTGAGGCCCTAGGTTTGAAACAGTTACTAGCTTTTTTGGGTCGAAATACTTAATAACATCTCGGAATTAGGAAGTTGACGGTGTTGGCTCTTGTGTAACATAGAGCACATATAGCCTACAGTACTGTGCCTTAACCCTAACACAATAAGAGTTAAAAGGCACAGAGAGTGCACTTATGTCTACGCGCATGCGAACGAATATGCAGCGCTGGATTTATACTAGAGGCACTGGGGGCTAGTGCCCAGGGCGGCAAATTTTTAGGGGCGGCAAATAATTAATAATTTTGTACATTTTAAAAAAAAAATATAATTTAGAAAAAAAACTTTGTCGAAACTTTTTCCATTTTACGCAAAATTCCGATAATAGGGCGGCATTTTTTACTATGCCCAGGGGCGGTGCTAAGGTTAAATCCAGCACTGCCAATATGCCCAAAGTATTTAATTCAATCAGATTGGATACCGTAAAAATCGGCGAAGAGGGCATAATGCAGTTTTTTGGTAGTTGCAGGTCCGGGGAACTTCAAATGTCTTTCGTAAATTTGCTAGGTTCTCTCAGACATAAAGGTTTCCTCACGTTGTCTTCCGTCACCGTCTTGCCCATGAAGATACCAACAGGTGTGTTTCTTTCCAAGAGAGCACGTTACCACTAGTTTACCATTGCGTTTACTTTCTACGACATGTCATAATGCATTTGACTCATGAGGATAGATGATGCACATCAGGGAGATAATAAATAATTTTCATGAGAATCGCTGTTTTTTACATGGGAGTTTAAGTCAAGACATTGACTATGCCATCGTCGTACAACATATAACTTAATAATCTTAAATAAATAAAACTAAATACAATTTCATTCATGCGACAACTGCTTAGTTTGATCATATTGCTTCATGAAGCGCGATCATTATGATGTTACATATTGCGTACTAGCGGCTCACCCTCGCTTCGGTCGAGATCACCTCTAGGAAAACAAAAACAAACCTCTCCCATAGGAATCGTACATTTTTCCGGGATAAAAAGTAGCCTTTGTGTTATTCCAGACTATAATCTATCTTTGTGCCAAATTTCATCCTGATCCGTTCAGCCGTTCTGGTGTGAAAGAGTAACAAACATCCACACATACAAACTTTAAAATTTATAATATTAGTATAGATAGTATAAATATGTAACAGATATCTTCGAAGTCGGTGCCAGCCAATATAAATTAAAGCACACCAACTTATTATTATATTTAATTAGACATCTATCCTAAATAAAAATCCTGGTTTAGTTATTTCTTACTTTTTAGTGCCTGAAAGTCGGTTTTCATTATTTTATAAAAGTTTTTATTGAAATTCGACTGTACTTTTACCAAGCTATTTATAAAGAGCTAATTAGTCATTTCCTTTATTAAAATACATGTGCATTTTAATAAAGGGAGTGACAATTTCATAGATGATCAATCAATTTCAATTGACTGAATTTCATTTTACTTTGAATAAGTTAATGTTTCGTTTTCCGGTGGACAAACGCTGCTTTATCACGATACAATAATTAAAAGCGTCTGAACGGTCAATTAGATAACTGTTGCAGGCAAAATTCGAGGAATTTTTTACAGCAATATACGAGTATATGTTATGATTTTCCAGTGAAACTTTTATAAAATCAAAAATATTTTTATTTGAAATGCTAAAGCTAAAACTATAAAGCTATAAAGACTAGGGGATTGTAGATTTCCCTGTATATTTTAAGGGCTTTTATGGAAGCCATTAAGTCTCTCTAATTTTTTTTCGCAATCAACGAACAAACAGAACATAGAGAATATGTTTAATTTGTTAAATTTTAATGCATGTTAATTGTCAGTTATGCATTTAGTTTATATTTTTGACCTAATCACAAACATTAAAAATAACTTTAATAGACATACAAATATAACCCTCTTACAATTTATTATCACATGATTATGTTTGACTTTCCGTAAGACCATATATAAATATAACAGATAGTGTCTTACTTCATTTAATAATTAATTTAATATTTTTATAAATTTGTTATTTACTAGTGTCTTACCTCGCTTCGCTTGGGTGAGTCGTAACGTTTAAAATAGATATGAATAGTTATGGCGAGTGTACATTAGGAGAAAGACTTATTCTATTGCAGATTTTTCTGTAGGCCTCATTAAGACCCACAATTTTCTAGTAGATACATAGTTTTGATGTATTTCTTAATATTTAGCCAGCGTTATACATGCCCATTTATAAGAACGACTCGATAGAACCAGTTATTGTGATTTCCAGCAACGCAAACAGACAAAGTAATTTATAACTATTGTTTTGGAGGTCTATATTCTGTACACTATACGTTACAGTTATTGTTTTAAAAAATATTTCATGTACAGATTTCACTTATTTAATAATATCTAGCGATTCACTCTCGCTCCGGTAAGTTCGCCCCTAGTTACTTAAATAACACAGTGACACGAGATATTTATATATTAGATATCCTTAAAATATAATACTCAAGGATAACACAAGGATTCGAATCTGACTATGTACTTTCTGCCATATTTATCTTGTTTTTTTAACTAGAAGTTTCTCTTCAATAATATGAAACACGAATTTATTTTTGCAAATAATAAAGTGTGTATTGCGAAAAAGTGTGTTTTTTCGTAGTTTGATCGCAGATGAAACCCCGGGGTGTGCTAGTAGTATATAAAATGATAAAGTTATTTAGGCAAATGCGCGCTGAATTTCATTTCCAGAAATTTTAATAGTTTTGATTGTGGATTATTTGAATTGAGGGTGGAAATTAATTTGAAAACATTCGCAAATATATTCGCCCCACAACAAATATAAAGTAGACCACAACAACCATGGGGTTGCTCTATCGGTCCACTCCAGTATCAGAGAAGTACCACCGAGGTAGGCCGCCTCCCAGTGCGACTGTCGGACGCTAATGAGCCCCCACAATAAAGTAACGCACATTGTGGATTGTAATTGTATCAATGCGTAATGGTCCTATATCCTGAAAGTCACGTCACAAATTTCGGTATATGATTTTTTTGATTATGCTCGAATTTCTTCCACAGAGCGAACTCCTTAACTCATTTAAAAAAAAAAAGAAAAAAATTAAACGAAACAACGAAAATATTTTTATGTACAAGAAATATGCGAAATAAAACTACGAGGCTCCTTGCTTTTTCATATAATTTGTTTGATTTTGTATAGCCACCCTTGATTTCTGACATGGTTTAACTGCTACCAATCAATAAATACCGGGCCGCCGGGCTCGGGCTCGGTGACGTGAGCCCCGAAGCGTGGGACGTTCTACGATATAAATATACAGGAGATAGTGCATGCGTTTATTCACTCCATGAGTTTCAATATACGAGTATAGAACTTTGTTTGTTAATATCTAAAGTTGATTGAGCTTAAACTATGGAAAAATAAGAAATGGAATTGTAATATTCGTCATTGTAATATTCTTTTAATTGACTTGAGCTAGTAGATAGTAAATATTATATGTAGTATTGAGTAAACTCAATACTTTTTACACTAATTTTGATTTTAGGTTATTTTAAAATTAATAAATTCTTTTAATTTCACGTCATATATACCTGAAACTTGAAAGGATAATATTTTTTTGTTATTTATATAGCTTTATATTTACTATTCAAATTACTATTTCATATTTCTTGAATAAAATAATCATTAAACGTCAATAAGAAGAAATAAAGTACCGTACCGTACCATAATAGATTTTAATACTTTTCACAGATTTCTTTACACTTGAACGCTAAGAGGTAATCAAAACCTACATCCGACTGACATTTGGTAATTGCGGACTAATTTGGGGGGAAGGGGGACAGTTTAGTACAGAGGCAGTTTTGAATTGTTTGTTTTATGAACGAATCCTTTATCATTCCTAACCTCTGAAACCATTTTAATACTGGTAAAACCGACCTACACACCTGTCAGTTTCCAGCTAACGTCTATGTCAGTGTAGTTTTGAATATCATTCGCTGGTTTGTTTACGAAGACCAGAGTAAATAAATATATTTTTATTTGTAAGCAAATGACTGAAAAGGTAAGTATTATTTTCAAGTTATTATTATTTTATTGCGTTGTATATATTATATCCCGAGTATTACAAATGAAAACAAATTTGAACTCAAATAAGTTTTTAATGGTGTTAGGGCAGATTTGAACAAAATTGCTGGGGCACTTTTGAATAAAATGTTCAAAGGTACCTAACCAAGTATATATCATGAGATTTCTAAATTTTTAATTGGTTTCTTGTTTCAGTCATCATGGTTAGAAATTACAAAAAGAGAAAAGAAAATTCTGTGAATGAAGACGATGCTGAAAGAGCTGTATTATGTGTTGTCAACAATGGCATGAAGCTTAAAACTGCTGCTGCTATATATAACATAAAACCAACTACTTTATACAACAGAGTTAAAATTTTTAAAGAGAAAATTACTCTAAAAAGTAAAGATTATAGTAGCAAACACACAGTTTATCAAGTTTTTACAAATGATGAGGAATATATGCTGGAAAAGTATTTCTTAAGAATGTCTAAAATGAACTACGGCTTGACCTACGTGCAAGGGAGAGAGAGAATTGGCATACCAATATGCTAATGTCTTAGAAAAGTGCCCTGAGACGTAAATAAACAATAAGATTATTGTATTGAACGGATGCGAGTATTGAATGGATGAAAGGATTTATGAAGAGGCATTAATTTTATCATTACGAAAACCCGGAAATACAAGCTTTTCTAGACAACAGACATAACGTTATGATGTTTTATAATAACTATGAAAAAGTAGGAGGAAATTTTACTCCAGCTCGCATTTATAACTTGGACTTTCATGTACATTCCTAAGACTCATGTTATATTTTTAAGATAGGATTCATAAAAGTACCTTTATGAGATTGTTTTGCAATATTGATATTGATCTTTTTTATAACTTGTTAGTTAGTTTAATCTTGTTCAAGATTACCCCAGACTGTTTAGTGTTTTATACAATTTATTTAAGTAATAACTAGTGTAGGTATAAATGGCTATGTTCAATGAATAAACTGTAAGACGCAAATAACTTAAATATAGTCTTAATTATATTCTAAGATACGTGGTTTTTATTTTATCCTGGTTTTACAATACTGCCCCTAGGGGTTTTAAATGTGCCTCGCGGATGGGGCAGATTTGAAGAAAATATGGTTTTTTAAAAATGGACATTGCGTTAATTTTATGGGTCAAATTAAATAAATATCATTTTTATTATTTAGTATAAACCCCATATCTATTTATAAAATATAATACATTTTGATTTTTAATACCATATGGGAAATATAATTTAATAACTAAAAAGTGTTCAAAAGTGCCCCCCTCTCCCCTACTTCAGCTTCCTTTGTAAATAAATAAATATAATCAAAGTTCACAGGCCCATGAACGGCGTCAGAATTATTTCCAAGGGAGTGCATCTGCTTTTTTACACTTAACTAATCTTTAAATGATTAACTTTTTTTTATTCCCAAATTATTATTATTTTATAATATATGTGAAAATTTCGTTAGCACAATCGCTCCTCTTACCAATTCTTGATTATGCTGATGTCAGTTACCTTGAAATTAAATAAACTTGAGCGGCTTCAAAATCTCTGTATCCGGTTTATATTTGGCTTACGTAAATATGACCATGTTTCTCTTTTTCGCAAGAAGCTCAAGTGGCTCCCTATCCGCCTTCGCAGGAATACTCACATTCTTCATCTTCTGTACTGTATTCTGTTCGATCCCTGTACCCCACCCTACCTAAAGGAGCGTTTCCAATTTCTTGGTAATTCACATTCTCGCTGTCTTCGCTCTGATATTAACCCTATCCTTAAAATCCCTTCTAACTCCTCTTCCTTCTATAGCAATTCATTCACTGTAACAGGCCCCACGTCTTTGGAACTCTCTTCCCCTTAATATCAGACGTGCGAAGTCACTATCGATATTTAAAAAACTGCTAAAAGAATACTTTCTTAGTTTTTGACTTTACATACACTTTACATACGAATATTATTATTGTTATTTTTTAACTTATCTTTCTTTGTAAGCTGTCTTGTCTTGTCTTTTGTTTTGTTTTTTTTTTATTATATTTTATTATATATAATATATATGTATATATAGGTATGCGTATCTGTGTAAGTATATGTATATGTATCTATTAGTATAAACATATATACTTATGTATTTTACTAGTCAACTTTTTTTTTATATATTGTGATATACATATTTACTCTATTATTTACACCCCTTCCCTCTTGCAGTTTGCTATCTCCTACACCTAAAGGTTGCCTGGAAGAGATCGCTGTTTTAGCGATAAGGCCGCCTCTTGTACATTTCTACTCAGTGTTTATTTATTTTTCTTTTATTCTTTGTGTACAATAAAGAGTTTATTATTATTATTATTATGTGAGATTTTTTTCTTTTTTTTCGCAGATATCTAAATTTAAATAGGGATATTAATAATTAGTATTATTTCTAATTTTTATATTCTAATTTTATTTCTTTAACTTTTTCTATATATTTTCCATCATGACAAGGGGTCCAAGAAGGTGCAAGTGCATCCCTCTCCCGGCGCCCAAGATTAACACAGCAACACAGTTATTTTTTTATAAAAATCTTTAATAACTAGTATTTCTTTTTTAAATTTTGTCTTAAATTGACATTTTCAAAAGAAAAAATACTTACATTATATTTATTTTTAATATAAAGTGATAGAAATGCATTTAATATGCTTGTAGGGTGAATGAAAACTATCGTTCTCTCCTAGACGCATTTTCGCATAAGTTGGTAGTAACTGGGCGTTACTCGGAACAGATATAAAAAATGTGTTTTTTTCAGACATCTTTAAAGATTAGAGCCGTTTCCGAGACACGTGAAATTTTATATTTATACAAAAATTGCTCATTTAATATTATAAGATAAGATATTGTAATAATGACCTACAATTTTCACATATAAAAAAAGGTTTTATTAAATCTTTTGCAATATAATACTTATTTAATTATTACAAACTACGGCTCTTTCCGCGGCTCCGCTTGCGTAGTCTGTTTATGTATAATTGTTTTGATTTGAAAAGTCGTAGTGTGATGTTAGATTAGCGTAGTTAGCCAAACTTTCTTTAAGAATTTGACTCTCAACTGCAAGACCATTTTTTTAAATCTGAATGGTAGTTCCAGATATTAGCATGTTCAAATAAAAAATCATTTTTTTAAACTTTATTACATTAGGAATGATAACATTATTCTTAGAACAAAACAATTTCTTTGTGCTAATAATTTATTTCATAGAAAGAAGAATATTACACAAAAAGTTAATTTATACTTTTTTTTTGGTAGACATACAATATATATATATATGTATACCTCTTTATATCAATTTTAAACAAATTTTAAAAGTGTGATATAATTTAACATAAAAAAAATAATAAAAGATCTATGGAGTTGTGGTTTTAATAGAGAGTCAAGTCAATAGTCTGAGGATCTCCCGAGGAGCAAGTATGAAGATAAGCATATGATAGTGGATAATAATGGAACTATCAAAAGAGGTATAAAAAATAGAAATAAAGGTAGGGTCTGGCATTCAGTTCTCTCTACCTAATTTTTGCTGAGCGCGAGCGGCGACAAAAAGCCATTTTACTATGGGACATATCATTGTACAAATGAAGGACGGATAATAATTTTGGCACTTAATTATATAAATTAATTCAACTTGGATAGGTCTTATAGATATTATTATTATAGTGCCTGGGCGACCGAGTTTTTGTAAAAACGTGTTTTTTCGGAAAAGAAATCATATAAAAATTGCGCTTATGCTAAAAAGATACATACAGACATGTATAGATAAACTAAAGGGCGCACCGAGGCAGCGAAACGTAATCGTAATTACGAAACGATAGCGTTCGTTTGATCCCTTGCTGTATTGTATGTACTAAAACTTTAAGTATGCAATTAATATATATGATATTTAAGGATTTATTATAGAAATCGTATCCTTTAGAAACATTATTACTTTTAGTTTCCTCGATAGAAAAAAAAATCCAAAATGATCTCTAAAAATTAAAATAAACTCTTAGTACGGCGTAAATATTTCAAGGAAGTTAATCACTTTTTAAATGATAACAAAACTATTTACTATATCGTATACACTTCACATTTTCAAATTGTGTATTTGTTCTAATCATACGAAGGAAATACCTAAATTCGCACGCGTTCCGTCCATCCTAGCCACACTCTCCCCTGCCCGCTTTAGTCCTACTAAAATCAATGAGCGCCAAAAGCTCGGCGCCCTCTTAAAACGCAAAACTTTATCTATATACAAATATTGATCCAAATCGTTAGAGCCATTTCCGTGATACACGATATAAATTTTTGATATTGTACCTACTTTGAATAAAATAAAAACATGTGTAACAAAAGTGGTGAAAAATAGTAGAGATTAGGTGTTAGAAGCAGCTGCGACGAGCAGTTAGTTTCTTACATATGTTGTCACGTAATGAAGAGTGTATAACGTCATTCACCAGTATACTCTTACATTGCAGTTTTAGTTTGTTTTTCTCAGTAATGAGACATTTTTCCGCGGTAAAAAGTATCCTATTTGTTGACCCGGATAACCAGCTATCATCATACCAAATTTCATCAAAATCCCTCCAGTTGATTTGTTTCTGTGATGCGGTAACAGACAGACAGACAGACAAAAATTCTAAAAACTATAGATTCAGCCCCTGTATCGATAATAATGTTTATTTCAATAAGATTTTCCAAAAAATATTTAATGTACAGATTAGGCTTAATTACAATTTTATTATATATATAGAATATCCCAGAGCCCCTGGACGTTACTCAATTTTGAAGTAATGAAATTTAAAAAATAGATACTCCTTTATGTATTTAAGTGTGTTTGCGTACTCGCTAGCCTGACTAGGCGGCCCGTTTACAGGTAACGTCTGGGAGCTCTGGGATCTTGGACATTTAACGACAACAACAGTTAATATGATGTTCTGTCTTCTAAAATCTCTCGTTCTTTTAATGTTAATTTTGTTAATGTTTGTGTACATTCCTTTATGTAGATTTTTGTGTGAATATATCAAATGTTATAATATCAATTTGTAAATTATAGTAAAATATTTAATTGATTTATATTAACATCTGTTTTATGTATCTTGTATATACTTTATTGCGATGTCTTGATTGTTGAAAGTCCAGATCATACATTGATCATGTTTTATACGTAAAGATACCTCAGTGTGAATATCTCGTTTTTAATCGGTTAATACTTTATCGATCGTGTCTTTTTCAGTCTATACGATATTGGCGAAGTAATCTGTGCCCAACTGGCACGTCTAAAATCCAAATAAAAAGAATTGAATGGAACAACAGTTAATTGTAGTAACTTACAACACAATAATGTTTTAAAATAATATACGTTTGTAAGAGAAGAAGAAAAATACTTTCCAGGAAGAAATAGAAATTACTACAAAAGATTCGAAGTTTCGAATACTAGAATGTTCTTTGTTTATGCATATAAAAAGTGCTGCAGTGTGTCGAGACTCGAGCGATCAGTTAAATGTCGTAGCTAAGAGAAGATTGAG